TGTGTTTTCTTAAGTTTTAAAACTATACTTCACTACAGTTAAAAATGTTAATCTTTTAAAGAAAGTAGCTCTATACCAGATGTCAAAAACACATTTAAGTTGATAAATTTTCAAAAATTTAATTCAGTGTTTTCTTCTCTACATAAAGTCGAAAAGAGCTCTTTTTCGAGTTAGGAATCAAAAAGATTGTCAAAAATCTATTAGTCAGTATTTTAAAATTTCCAATTAACTGATACGTATTAATTCACTAATAGTATTTTTAGCTGTTGAATAAAAAGAGTGTAATTTCTAACTATGGATATTTTTCGTTTAGTAGCTTATTGTAGATTTTCTAAAAGGTACGTGTAAAAAAGTCGTGCGATTTTAAGGTTGATTGATTGAATATTAACGTCGCACTGTTCATCTACACGAGGGCTTTTGGCGACGGACCACGTAATTTTGAACCATGATCAAGTGAAGTGGACGACACCTAATTCTGGACCCTAATGTAGATTCAAAGCAATATATATATATATTTATAAATTTCCCGTCAAATAAATTTCAAAATGAAAAAACTTTAAAAACCCTATACTTTTTAGAAAGAGTCGGCAGGCTGCAACTTACGTACTGGTGGGCCGCTTAATGGACACCCCTGAGCTAAATCATTATCACCACCCACCTTGTACGCTGTTGGGCCACCTTCGGCAAGCAAAACAACTTCTAAATGCCTGAGCATGGATACCACAAGTTATTGGAAGATAACTGGGGCCAGATGGTACCAGATGTTCAAAGAGCAGTCACGCGATTCCCGGATATTCAGAGGGGGTGGGTTTTGAGCTCTGAGCAGCCGTTCCATGACATCCCACCTGGATCATTTCCCTTGGATTTTAAACTCGAACAATTCATTTAAAGGAAAGTATTCGCCACAATAATTCATTAACGGTAATAAATCATTCTAAAGTGTTAAGAAAAAATATTCAAGAATTGAAAAAGAAACTTAAATCAATATATTTCAATGGGAAATAAATGCATTTGATATTAGTATATTACAGTCACTAGAGGCTTGTGCATGAGATTTTTGACAGCATTAAGGTATCCGACTACGTTCGGAACCGTGATTTTTCCAAAGCGTATAAATGGATAATATTTATGATATTTAGTGTCACTTAGACTAGAAAATGTATATAAAACTGTTTCAAGAATAGTATTACAATAAAAAATTATTTAAGTACAATATTTTGACAAAAAATGAACATAGAATGACCCATTTTCAAAACATTCTCCTTTTATGAAAAATGCTTCTATT